AAGAGATATCTATTTTAATACCAATTAATAAATCGATAATGAAACATGTTTGCTATTTGTTATCAGCTGAAAAAAAGTATAGTAACACTATTTTTAGATTTAATGTTTCAAATAACCTAACCATTTTCCCCTGCTTATTCCCCATACTATTATAATTATGCTGATTAAATAAGGAACTGTGAGCCAAGAGGGTGTCTGGCAACGGCTTAATTGTATCTGTTTTGTGGTATTTGAGATCTACTGATGTGGTGTCTGGTCGCTAAGGTGGACGTGGCACTGTGTTGCCATGAGATGATGGTATTAATGGAGTCAAGCTGAGGACTGTGTGGCTGTGTTGTTCTACACAGTACATTGTTAGTCCTGGAGAGTTAGAAATAGGAGGTCCCATGGAGGCTGCATAGTCCATCTCAGAGCTGTGAAGACCAGACCTGGAGTGGTTGCCCGGTTTATAAGTGCAGGGCTGGGACTTGTTCACATCCGCCCAGGGACCACTCACAACAGCCTTGCTGTGCTTCCTCCCGGTGGGGAGGTGTGTGCGAGTGAGGCTGGGCACAGGGTGGGCTCTCGGGGACCTTGCCCTCATGTCTACTGCTTGACTACTCGCTATCTAGTGGTTCTCAAGCTTGCTATTTTCTTCATTAAATTGAATCCAGTACCTGCATGTGCACATTTCAGCTGTAAGAACGATTGCATTTCCAGACCATTACAGCAAGGAATAGATTTCAGGTAGTTGTGAATGAGAGAGCAAGGTTAAAGCATCATTTCTATATTTTATTTTTAAAAAAATTCCATAGTTTGATGATTTTCTCATCATTTTCTTACATAGTTGACTCTAGAAGTCATGTGTGTATTTCCCTTTTTCAGCCAGGATATGATGACCTTAATCCCGATTGGAGGCTCTCTACTGAGAAAAGAAAAAAAATTAAAGGTGAGTTGGGTGAAATATGTTAATTAAAACCTTAATAGACTCTTAATATTATATAATGTACTCTTTAAATGATACAGGAAGTCTCCGATACTTCTGTCTCCCTGGTGGAAACCCAGAGATCTGGAACTGAGACAGGGTCGCAGGTGCACCTTCTGGTGGTCGGGCTTTCCCAAGGCTGAGTCAGAGCCCGGGGTGTGCAGCAGCTGTCTCCTGCAGTCCAGCATTGAAGGGGCACCCTCATTCAAAGCTCTTAGCAAACCGCTTTACAGTGCTCCTGGGGAGACAGCTGAAAGGGACTCTTCAAAGGATAATCACTGAGTAGTTATCTTCTGGGGTGAGAGGTAATTAGGGTTAAGTAGGTGAGGTTTTTCTTTTATGTATCTCCATTTGTAAAAAATGGGGTATATATATATATCTATTACTTTTCTAAAGAGGAAAAAAATCAGTATTTACATTTAAATAAAAGTAATATTTAATTGGTATTAAAAACAAACATTACAAAAACTTTAAGGGTTACTTTGAGTTATTTACTTCTAGTATTTAACTAAGGGTCACTTTTTTTTAGGCGAGACTCTTCAAAATTAAACATCCCTGAGTTTTTAGGTATCTCCTTTAAAATCACAGATACAAGGTTCAAAATCTGTATTACAATATGATTTAGTTCACATTTAAAGAGGATTGAAAATTCGATTCACGGGGCTAGCAGGTGGCACCGTGGCTTAGGAGCTGGACTCCCACATGGCTGGCCTTGGTTCAAGTCCTGGACATGGTGGCTTGTTTTCTCACTTTCTCTCTTTCTCTTTCTCTCTTTCTTTCCCTCTCTCCTTCCCTACCTCTCTTGGGTGAGTACATGTGCCCTGTAGCAAATTAGAAAATAATAATAATAGTGAAATAAATGTAATTAAATCTTTAAAAAAATCTGATTTATTAATATCAAATTCTATGCTTTGTATTATTTGCTTTTGTTGAATTATAATCTAAAATATTCATTCAGAAACATTTCTGAGAAAAAAATAATGCTTTGTCAAAGCAGAAGTTAGAATCTGAGTTAAATGAGTTGCTTCTCTTCCTTCCCACTTTACACTTAGCAAGAAGCCCCAGGAACTCGGCTTTTCACATTTTCTTGGAATTTCTTATTTATATGGATTGTCTTAGGCTTACATTGGGAGAAATTATTGTTATGGTCTTTGTTTTTATTAAAATGAGTTATTCTCATGGTGCCAAACTCCAATTTAAAAAACTCTCCTTAGTCTAATATTGAAATATATTTTTAAATTTATGGTTTATGGTTATATGTATTACTTTTAAACCACATCATATCCTTTGTGGAATAGGTGAGGTTAGAACAAGTACGATAAAACGGTAATAAATATCATGGCATTTCCTTTTGAATGCCTCAGTTTAGTGAACCGTAATTTATTTTTGTCTCTAAAAATTTTTTACTGGCTAATGTTTCTCCTTCTCTGAGTAGTTATAAGTTTAAGAGGAAATCAGCACTGGAAACTATTAGGTCTTGAATTTTTCTAGAGGGGAATAATCTCCTTACGTGTCTGAAAGTGATAATAAGTACATTTCCCAAAGCTTTTAAAAATAATTATTTATTTAATTTTTTAATTATTATTTTTAATTTGCTATAGGGCACATGCGCTCATCAGAGAGTGAGAGCAAGAGCGAGTGAGAGAGAGAAGGCAAGTGGCTAGGTCTGGGATTCCAACCAAGGTCGGCCATGTGGAAGTCCAGTGCCTTAAAAAGCACACCACCTGCTGGCACCACCTTCCCAAACCTTTTATACCCTTTATTTATATGCACACTTTGAACACACCCACCTTTCAGCTTAACATTGACTATGGTGACAGTTAATTCTTTTGAGTATATTCTGAGGTATTTTGAGAGGAGGGACCTTAATTTGTAAGCTTTGGGTTTTGATTAACAATGGTTTGGATGTTTATTAAAAGAATTTTATGTCTCATGACCTGAGTAAAACCTCGAGTGATTTAGATTTTATTTTTCCCTTATTACATAAACATGCCTCTGCCCATGTAGTGTTTTTGTTTGTTTTAATTTTTTGGTGGTTTTTAGGTTTTTGCCATAGGGTGCATACATTCGCCAGAGAGAGACAGAGAGAGGGAATATGAGAAATCATCCCATTGGGGGTTGGCCATGCCACAATCCCTTCATTTTCCTGTCGGAACTTTGTGTATACATGCATGATTTTCCAGCCTCTGGGTCAGGGACTCAAACTGTGGTCAATGGTGTGGGAGTCAGTGCCTTAACCACCATACCAAATGATGGCCCAGTAGTGTTGGATTTTAAAGTGATTATTGTTTTAAGCCTGTTGTAATTGAATCCTATTCTCAGATGCACGTGGATTAACTTATTTTTCCTCGTCAGATAAAGAGTCCTTCTACCCGCTGGTAGATGTCAACTGGTGGGCAGACAGTGCAGTGATACTGGCTCGATGCTCTGGTGCTCTAACTGTTTCATCTGTGAAAACTTTGAAGAATTTACTGGGAAGATCTTGTGAGTGGTTTGAACCGTCACCTCAAGTCACTGCTACCCATGATGGGGGGTTTTTAAGTTTGGAGGTAAGGCTTTTGTCTTTTTTTGAGAGTAGACATGTATGTATGTCACCAAAAATCTAACTGTCAGGCTGATTATTTTAGTTGTCTCATAATGTTGTCATAAAAAACAACAATTCATGATTAGAATCAGATGTTGGTACAGTATTAAAAAAAAGTTTATCATTTAGTATATAAAACATTTGCATTAGAGGTGTATGAAGGAAATTTATAGTGATTTTTATCAATATCTTCCTCACTGAAATGATCAATCTAATTGTTCCTGGATATGTCATCTATAAATTTAGGATGGTACTATTACCTAAAAAATACAGTCTTTCATCAATTTCCATGGCATAGCAACTTAAAATTTTTAAGTTAAAATTTTTAGTTATTTTAATAGCAAAAAATTGTTTATCATGATAAAAGAGCCGAAAATAGAGGCTCGTTCTTTAAAGTTGTGTTATAATAATTTAAAATTCTTCTCTTATGTCTCTCACGGGTAATAATCTTCACTTCAGCAGTGAAGATTGATATAAATATTTTTTACTCCAACTTTTGTTACAAGTCTAAAGATGTTCTTTAAATAATGACTTTAAATGCAAACTAGCTCCGTTAAGTCTGGAGTGAAAGTTATCTTCAACACACAGGCTTTTAGAGTCAGAACTTAGTGTAGCTATTAAACACTAAAAGGTAAGGTAAGGGAGAGCTTTTCTCATGAAAATAAGTAAATACCTCATGGTCATTCTCTGAATAGATGAAAAAAAGATTAATCTTATTTTTCCACAGCAGATATAGAAATATTGAAAGTAAGAGAAATTGACATTCTCAACTTCTTTATTTCCCTAAAATAATTACCAACCATTATTAGACTATATTAGTAATGTACTGTTATTAAAATAGTCTTTAGTTTTGAATATTTGATGCTGTTGATGTTTAAGATGGGTCTTCAAAAAGTTCACGGAAAACACATAATATGGAAAAACTACAAATGTATTAAAGGTTTTTTTTTTTTTTTTGCACCGAAATAAGCAAATACTTTAATTCTGTTTCAGAAACTTTTTGAAGTCCTCTTATATCGTTTGTGATTTCGTTCTTTTAAATTCCATTGTTAATTTTAATCATGTGGTTGATGTGACAAATCAAACTAGAGCAGAATTAAAAATATATTTTGTTTCATTAACTGTAAAGATTGTTTTTGGTTCCTTACTCGTAATTTTATACCTCTGTCTTCAACTTAGTGTGAGATTAAGCTTGCCCCCAAACGGTCTCGTTTGGAGATCAGGGCTGGAGAAGAAGATGAAGGAGAAGAGGATTCTGACTCCGATCATGAGATATCTGCCAAGGCGCGGTACTTCGGTTATGTGAAACAAGGCCTTTACTTAGTGACTGAGATGGAGCGGTTCGCACCCCCCCGAAAACGCCCACGGACCATTACTAAGAACTACCGCCTTGTGAGCTTGCGCTCCACGACTCCAGAGGAGCTTTACCAGAGAAAGGTCAGTGCATCATGGTACTACCAAAGTTTGAAGGCATCAAGTTTTTGTTTTGTTTTTTTGAGAAAAAGCGAATTTTTCTATTTAAAAGGGAACTGTTGATTCCTTACATGGTAGAAATGTTGGTATTATAAAACTTGAAAATAATGCTAGTCTTTTTATCTGAGTAATCAAGATTAAAACAGTGGATAAGGGGGCCAGATAATGGCACTGTGGCCTTTAGCCTTCATGGGAAGCTTGTGGGTTCACATCCGGGTCCCACCATGAATATGCTGGCTCATACCCATGACTTGGGGTTGGCTGAGGCTGCATTGGATCATGGTGTCAAGACCCTGAAGCGAGTGCTGTTTCTGCTTCTCTCTCTCTTTCTTTCTCTCTCTTACTTTTCAAAGAAATTAAAAAGCAAAACAAACCCAGAAAACGATGGATAAATGTGAATTCACTTGGATTGGTTGTGCACTTGTGCCTTTGCCTGGTTTTCTTTTACCCTTCGTGTGGTCTTCAGCTCTCCTCTCCTCTGTGCTTGAGTGCAGCTGTCTATTCAGATCACAGACTGGGGAGGAAGAACAGGCCGGCTTTCTCGTCAGGCTGGCTTGGGAAGCCACCATAGCTTGTCTGATTGTGGGGAGTATTCCTTATTGGTGCTGCCCCTGCAGTGTCATGGGAGGAGCTCTGGACCAGGAGTTGGGCTATCCCACTGCTGTTCTTGGTTTTGCTTTCTTTACTATATAAGGAGCTTTTCAGCTTTTCTCTCACCTTTTGTAAAATATAAGGAATACCAGATCTACCTACTCCTCAGCATGTCCATGAACGTGCGCGTGTGTGTGTTTGTGTGTGTGTGTAGGAATTTGTAACATGCACGGGCCTAGTAGTCATTTTCATTCACGTGTCATCATAGCGACTGCAGATGATTTAGTAAGGTGACATTTCTGTTTCCATTTCCCTCTCTGCAGATTGAAAGCGAAGAGTATGAGGAAGCCTTGTCTCTGGCTCATACCTATGGCCTGGACACCGACCTCGTTTATCAGAGGCAGTGGAGGAAGTCAGCGGTCAACGTTGCTTCAATTCAGAATTACTTGGTCTGTGTAAACGTTTGGGGTCTGTGGTAAAGTTCATACTCTTGGAGTATCTTCTGTTGTAGAGCTGATTCATTTTAGTGTACTTTAGCCAATGAAGTATGCTTTTCTTACTTGGAAAAATTACCTTCTCAGGTTCTGTGGTCCCTGCAGCAGGACTTTGCCACCAGAAATTTGTGAACAAATACTTGTTGATAAGCCAGCCAGTTACTGGCATGCAGTTCTTTGAAAAGACCAAGGGCAGACTCCTTATTGGCCTGATCCTCTCCCTGACAGTACCACATTTACCCTTGTCACCTGCATTAGTCAGAGTCTAGTCAGGAGCTAGAAACCACACAGCAATTTGAACAGGGAAAATTTCAGTATGCGAAATTATTTTCTAGTAACCAGAGATGGACTGTAAAGGGATGAAGAGAACTTTAAGCAATATCCCAGGGACGAAGGAGCATACCCATGGAGGAAATGAACTTGGGAATGAGGCCTCCTGACCTAGACTGGGGGTTCAGCTCTCACTGGACAAGGAATGGTTGCAGCACATTGGATGGAGAAGTTCTCTGGGTGTCCTTGGACCAGGGCTGGGCCAATGTTGGCAATTAGGGAAATGTGGAATACATGGGAAAGCTATATTGCTCCTGCTAGAGTGCCTGAGACCCAGGATTGGAAGTCCAGAAACCCCAAGGACTGGCAAGCAGGAAACCCCCTGCCAGCATGCACTCAGCTGAAGGCAGGTAGACACATAAGGAACTGTGGTCAGGACTGGCAAGCAAGAGCTCCCTTTCCCTGTAGGTGGCCCAGCCTGAGCTTTCCTGTTAGGTGCCTGGGAGAGTCACAGGAAAGGAACCTGCCCAGGGCAGTCCCACTCATCCTAGTGGGAAGTCGTCCAGAGCAGGAGGAGGGGGAGTTAAGCACACTGCCACGTCCCCCATTCCTTGCTTGCTGCCAAGTCATAGGAGCAAGACCCAAAGCACATTGGGACTGGAAACCAGACCGTCTTCCTTTGCAGTGGCCCTCCGTTGGGTCCTAGTCATGCCGTAGTCCTCAGATCTTACATTCTCCATCCCATCAGGTCTTAGGCATGTGGGCTGTGCCTGCATGTCGTTGCCAGGGCTGGATTCGAATCCTGGTCAGTTGTGTGAGATTTGGCTTCTCCTGCATGACACTTAATTGCTGCCCTGTGGGCCAGAAATATTTAGAACTTCTGAACCTACCTGTAGAATGGAAATCTGCCTTTACATTTAGGAAGATTCTAGGGAATATTGGGAGGATTTCATGATAAATTTATGCGCATCAGTAATCACAAATAAATAACAGCCCAATCTGAAAAATTTGTAGGCAAGAAGATGCTTCAACCAAATAGGATGGTAAACTGCTAAGAATTAATATAGATAGGGGATCAGATAAGAGAGAATGTGAGAGAGAATGATGCAAAGGAAGAAGATAAAGTTGCATGTGTGTATTTTTTTTTCCCCAGAAAATAAAAAATGTGTATTATCTTTTTTGTGATTTAGGGCAGTCAACATTGCTTCAGTTCAGAGTTCATGAGTATACATATACCCGTTTACTCGTTTTCTCTCGAACACAGTAAAGGACAGTTTTGGTCCCTGAAGGAGCTGAGAGGTACTAGGAGAGTCAAAGCAAATTCACTTTTTAATGAAGGGAAATATTTAATTCAGTTAAAAAGTCAGCAGTGAAGAGTGAGAGTCGTGTGCTGGGGCTGCGAAGGGGTAGAGGAAAGGCATAAATGTAGCCTTTGCTATTAAGGAACTTACAAACTTATTAACGAGGCAGACTTCATGCTTAAGTATGTACAACTCTACAAGAAAATTTCATACAACCGCAGTTTTGCATTGAACATAGTCATCACTATAGACTTGGTAGAAAGGGAAAGCTCTATATAGTGAAGGTGTGTTGAGCAAGAATTGAGAAGGATTCAAAGTAGGCCTTTTAGAGTTAGAAAAGGGCATGCTTTTTTTTTTTCTTTTTTTTGTGTGTGTTTAATTTGATTTTTTCTTTAGAGAGACATAGGTATCCTTGACAAAGTCTTGCCATGCCGTGACCCTCCCCCAGCCTTCCAGCCAGGATCACAGGTGCACCCACAGACATGGTCAGGCCAGCCCAGGCTCAGAACCTGGGATCTCTCATATGGCTTTAGTGTTGTGCAGCATAGCTCCACCTCCTGTGCCACCATGGCCAGGCCAGGACGACATTCGTATTAGGACAAGTGGTGTGAGTAAATTGAATTACAGTGAGTGATTCACTAAGCCACTGACTAAATCTGTCAGCTCACTGCCGTATCCTCATGTCCTCAGTGCCTAGTACACAGGAGGTGCCCAGAAACCTGTTGATGGGTAAATTGGCTCTGCAAGTCAACCAGTTTGTTGGGGGCGGATACTTGAAAATAGTAAGCACTGGGAAATATGAATGCAAAGGTATATTGGTTTAGGTTCAGAAGGATGTTGAAAGCTTGTGATGACTTAAGCTCTACCTTATGCTAATGGGGAACATCATGGACTTTTGACTGTGAAGGTGCCGAGGAAGATGGTACAGAAGAGGCCTAGACTGAAGGAGAACAGGGTAGGAAAGCCTGCTGGGCCCAGGGACTTCTGCAGTGCCTCAGGTGTTGTGTGTTTGAGAATTTAGACTGGCATGCAGGCTGCAAATATGGAAAAGAAGAAATGACTTAGGAGACACTTGACTAAAGGAATGATACAGTGAAAAGTTTAAAGGACCATAGGATGTGAGATAAATCCTACCTAGAAGGCCTGCAGGTGGTGTGGAGGTTGGGGTGCTGGATCCCACGTGGTTTGTGTTGTGGTTTGAGTCCTAGACTTGTCATCTTGAGTATCATGTGGACACATGCGCAGAATCCCTGGAGGAGAGTGGAGGAGAGGGGATTATGGTGTGGCCATCCCCCCTGAGGGGTGGTTTCTCACTTGCTCTGTCTTTTGCTTGCTCTCTGGCAAGTGCACATGCCCTATAGGAAAAACTTAAAAAAAAAAATTCTTGAATTTGTAACCCTAACAGCTCTTTCTAGGAAGAGGGCAAAACAAGGATTTTAAATGGAGTCTAGGAAGCATTTGGGGGAAAGATATATGCCCTTGGTTTTTCCCAAAAACAATGTACCTAGATTTCTTATGATTAAGTTACTATCTTGCAATATATCTCATAGTCAGATAAACGCAGAGCCTTGATATGCTGTTACTCAAATTAGTTTGGTTTCAAGATTAAACATGCTTATTCCAGTAGGATATATCGTGTCTTGCCTTTCTGCCTTATTTTCTGGTATTTTTCTGCCAAATTGCAAACCAAAGGCAACTATAACAGGCTGGAAAGAGCTTTTCTGTTTTTATTATGTAAGAGTGCTGAGTTTTGTATTTCAGTGCAGCTCATCAGAGGAAAGAGAGAAAGCAGGTGGGATCACATTCCCAGCACCCAATTGTAATCACCTTCAGAGAAGTCTCTGTTACAGTGAGCTTCTTTAGCAACTACCTGTGGTCAAGTTCTTTTTGAGTTTATTTTTATTTTATTCCTATTTATGTGAGAGACAGAGAGACTAAACAAGAGAGAGAAAAAAGATTCAGGCACCCTCAACACCTTTTTCATGCTGTGATCTACCCCCGGTGTCAGCCAGCCTGACATAGGTGCCTGGGGCACATGCACCCAGCGTGTGCAGGGAGACGTCTGGGACACGAGCTTGGACCTTCCTCTATGGGTTCAGCATTGCAGAGCATTACATAACTGCGGTATCACTGCTGTGTCACCGTTGCCAGCCCCTGTTGTTGCAGAAAGATAGATGCCGAGGAATGGAAATGGCACTCAGGAGAGAAAGGAGAACTTTTTATTACGTCGGCAGGCATGGAGGAGTTAAATACTCTGGATCTCTGGTCCCGGCTGAGAGTTGGACACAGTCTTTGTGGGTGAATTGGGGAGGGGCAGTTTCAGCACACTTGGAGTGTCCTATCAGGGAAGGAGCTCAGCGTCTGCTCTCATACAGAGCTGGCAGAGAAGCAGGGGATCCAACATGCCCAAGGCCTCTGGCCACTCAACAGTTCAGGAGAGGGGCAGCTAGCTTGCATTGAACATAGTCATCACTATAGTTTTCTGGGAACAGAAAACCCAGGCAACTATCAGCCCTGGGTTGCTTCAAGGTTGTTCACAAGTTCCTCCATATCAGAACAGAAGGTTCAGGCAGTTATCAGCCTTGGGTTGCTCCACTGTGGCCAGATTCTTAAGTAACTAAAACAGAAGGCTCTTCAAAAAGTTCATGGAAAATGTGCATTACAGAAAAACAACACGTGGATTTCTAAATTTTTTTGGTCACAAAATAAACTTGTATTTTAATTTTGTGAAGGTTGCTAGTACTTGAGGGGTAACTTTATCATTCTAGAAGGCAGTTGTCAGATATTGCAAGATGTCGTGGGTTCTTATTAATACCTCCGTTTTTGATTTTCTTTGTATCTAGAGTAAAATAAAGAAGCGATCCTGGGTTCTCCATGAGTGTTTGGAAAGAGTTCCTGAAAACGTGGATGCTGCGAAAGAACTACTTCAGTATGGATTGAAAGGCACAGACCTGGAGGCTCTGCTAGCCATAGGGAGAGGGGCAGATGATGGCAGGTTGGTTCTAGAAAAGTCTGGACTCACAGCAAGGGTGACTGTGAAAACTTCTAAGCCGAGACTCTGGTCCCAGATACACGTTTCTTTTTCTAAGTTACTCTGTAATGTTACTCTGCGTTTGATCAGTGCTTTCTCATCTGAGGTCTCAGCTTTCTTTCCTTTAGGAAAACTTGTTTGTCTGCGATAGCTTGAGCTCAGGGAACGTCCATTTCTGCCAGCACTTGTTTTTATGCTGGCTATTCCCAGCTGGGCTCAAGGCCCTTACCTGGCTGGCCTCCTAGTTAGGTGAACCACCTTGGGCAAGTCTGAGCTTCACTTTTCCTTTGTGCAGGGTCAGACCTTCACAATTTCTGGGAGTGTTTGAATTATGTATCTTGTGGGACCAGCAGATGATGTGGTAACTGAGGTGGCTGGATCCCACTTGGCTGGCTGCATGGTTTGAATTCCAGACTCCATGGTTTGACAGTCACACTGGTGCATGTGTGTGCCCCAAATCCCAAGAGGAGAATGGAGGAGAAGGGATTGTGACATTACCATCCCCTCGGGGGGGAGGGGGTGTTTTCTCATGTTTTTTTCACTTTTTTTCTCTGGCGAGCTCATGTGCCCTTTAGCAAAAACTAAAATAAAAATAAAAAAATAATTTGTATCTTGTGAGAGCACGTCATAAACTTTTTTTTTTAGGAGAGGTTTTTGCTATAGGGTGCGTGCGCTTGCCAGACAGACAGAGAGAGACATAGAGACAGAAAGTGAGAAATCACCCCCCCGGGGGGATGGCCACGCCACAATCCCTTCTCCTCCATTCTCCTCTCGGGATCTTGGGCACACATGCACACGCGCCCAGCGTGAGCTTAAGCCACCGGGTCCGGGACTCGAACCGCGGTCGACCATGTGGGAGTCCAGCAACATAGCGCTAACTGCTCCCAGCATGTCATAAACTTTTAAACACCACTCAAATGTCAGTTGATAATGATAGTTATAAAGTTATTTGATAAAACCATTGTTCATGGGACATTTGGAATTTTTTTAAGGAATGTTTATTGGTTTATTGAGAGAAAGAGTGCCTGAGGAGCTGAAGCCAGAGGTGCGTCAGCGCACGAACTTCTTTTGAGATAAAATTGTGATAGTATTTGTGAGAAATGAGTAATTTAAATGCGACTGACATTTATTACCTCTTTAAGACCTTAATTAGAAGTGATTCAAATAGTAAACTCTCTGGGCAACACTTTCTTCATAGGCTGTTTTACGCTGAGTACTTGTTACCCTACGCGTTTTCCTCAGTGGTTTCTATCTGTCACAGTTACTGATGACTTTCTGGTTAGCCTATTGATGTAATGACCGAACCATTTTGCCTACAGTGGCAAAGTTTTCTTTTAAATAATTAATTGTTTCTGTGGAAATCAACTTCATAATGGAAACAGTCAAAATAGAAGAAACAGCTTTTCACTACCTGCAATGAAACTTAAGTAAATTTTTTTTTTTGTTATTTTTTATTTTCCTTTCAGATTTACATTGCCTGGTGAAGTAGACATTGATGGTGTCTCCTATGAGGAGCTTTCACAACCTGCTGAAGAGCCTGCCAAGAATAAAAAAGAAAAAGAGCTGAAGAAGAGACGAGAACTACTTAAATTAGTGAACTTTTCAAAGTAAATGATTTATTACTGTTCCTTTGGGGGGTTTTTTTTTTTTTTTTCCCTATAGGGCGCGTTTCATAAAGACAGAGAGAGATAGAAAGCGAGAAATCACCCCCCCCCCCAAGGGGGTTGGCCACGCTGCAATCCCTTCTCCATTCTCTTCTTGGGATCTTGGGCATGCACACACATGTGACTGGCATGAGTTTAAGCCACTGGGTCTGGGACTCGAATTGCAGTTGACCACATAGGAGTCCAGTGACATAGCCATTATGCCAACTGCTAATCCCTCCTTTGGTAATTTCTGTAAAATAACTAGTCACTTCAGTTTTTTTTTTCCCCTCTCTCCAAAGGGTATACATGGACAAGGTGGGGAGAGAAACAGAAAGAAAGTACAGGGCCTGGTCACATTGAAATCCTTTTTTCCCCTTCCATTTCTTCATCCTGTCAGGATCCTGGGCATATGTGCATGTGCCCAGTGTGTTTCTAATCCACTGGGGTCAAGATTTGAACCATGGTCATCCAGGTGGGCTCTGGCTCTCCCTGTACAGTGCTCAGCTAATGAGGGGCTGGTCCTCAGTGTGATCTTTTTTTTTTAAAGAGATTTGTGCTTTAGGGCATGTGGACTTGACAGAGAGACAGAAAGCAAAAAATCACCTCCTGGGGGGGATAGCCCCACCACAGTCCCTTCACCTCCATTATCTTCTTGAGATTTTGGTCATGCACACGCACACACCCAGCATGAGTTTAAGCTGCTGGGTCCTGGACTCGGAGTTGAGCAATATAACCATTTCGCCATCTGCTGGTCCCCAGTGTGATCTTTATTAGTGATAATTACTCTAAATTATTTTGGACATACATTTAAGTTAAATGTAGTACATGTTATTTTACATTTGTGCTTTTGTGTACTGTTCCTTGGGTTTTGAGCTCAGTGGAATGTTACCATTTTTCATTCTATTTGAACTAACATAGAAATGTACTTCTGTGTCACCGTAAGTGGTCTAATGCAGTTATTCAACACAGGTTGACGCTGGAACAAAAGGAACTTTGCCGTTGTAGACTGAAATTATTAACCTACTTAGATCGACTTGCAACATATGAGGTAAGGAATAATTATTCATAATTTGGTACTCAAAGCAATTATGTTCATTTAATCTGTCATTATGAATGCTATTGCTGCCCCAATATTTGATACTCTCATTCTTTAGAACTATTCAGATGGGAAAACTGAATTTCTCACAGAAGCAGTTTCTCTTGTATATTAGTTTTGGTAAAAATTAGAGATTGTGAGAGGCCAGAAATTGTTTTGTTAGATAAGGAATAGGAGCATGCTAGCAATTTCAGAGCATCTGCCTTTTCTATATTTATAATCTTTTTTACTTAGTTTTGTTTTATGTTTTGATTTTTCAGATAGTGGCATATAGCTATTTCCAATACGAAGTTACAATATACACTGTTTTAATAATCTTTTTTTGGAGAGGTTTTTGCTATAAGGCGCATGTGCTCACCAGAAAGACAGAGAAAAACAGAGAGACAGAAAGCAAGAAATCACCACCCAGGAGAGAAAGCCATGCTGCAATCCCTTCCCCTCCATTCTCCTCTCGGGATCTTGGGCACGCACACACATGCACCTGGTGTGAGTTTAAGCCACTGGGTCCAGGACTCAAACCTTGGTGTAGACTATGTGGGAGTCCAACGACATAGCCATTATGCCAACTGCTGGTCCCCACTGTTTTAATAATCTTGATATGACTATTTCTTGTTAGTTCCAAATATTATGGAAATGTTTAGAACTTCTGATGCTGTAGACAAATCCAAAAGCCTTTGGTTCCCTACCCTGCTAATATAATTGAAATGTTTTTTTTTTTTTTTTTAAATAGTGAAGGAGACTATTAGGAAACACTAGTAATGAGTATATCATTTCATGCAAACTAGTTTTGAAAAATTCCTAATAGTTTTAATTATAGCTACAGTTAGTTTGGTTGGTGGGTGGTCGTGTTATTTTTAAATGTGTCATCGTAGTACGTCTGAGTTCTGTAATACTTCGAGGTGCTAGAGGGTACTGTCAGGAGGGCATAGAATGGAACCTCTATAAAGTTAGAGGTTCTATCTTGCTTGCTGATACACCTCCAGAACTCAGAATGGCACCTGGCTCATTGAGGAACACAGTAAGTTCTTATTGAAAAAACCAATAGGCAAAGAATACCTTAAAAAAATCAGCATATTTGTTCAGCACTATTTGTCAGTCATCATCTTGCATATTTTACTCAGATTATGTCTCAACAGTCTTTTGAAGCTATACTATTATCTTCAGTTTTGTGGCTATAAAAACAGCCTTAAAAGAGTGAGGTAATTTGTCTAAATAAATAGGAAGCCAGGACCTCTAACCAAGTCTCTGTGACTAGTAGCCTGTTTCAGTGTGTGCTGTGTAAAGGCCTGCTGCTGTGTAAGAAGGCGTGCTCTCGACCAGGTGAGCTCGTTGAGGTTGCTGGACCATAGGCTATGGCGTGGGGGGCTGGGCTGGCACGGAAGCAAGTAGGGAGATATGGTTGAATAGTTAGTGACCATATTTGGGAAGGTCTCATGCTGTGTGGAGAACTGAGCTGAATTTTAGTCAGAGGTTGATAAGAGTTTATAAAATAATGGAAAATGGCTGCAGTCAAAATGGGCTGTTGGCAGCTTTCAAGAAACTATATAGTGAAAGGGAAGTGGAAGTGGTGGTCATGAGAGGGGTGTGTCAGGGTTGTTTTCATAATGCAAAGAAGGAATATTTTATGCTAGTGGAATAAACCAGTTGAGAAGTGAGGTGACTTCATGGAACAGAAGAAGGGGTTCGAGTATAGCAGTGGGGTAGAACTGGGATCTAGAGCATGGCTGCAGTATAGAGACATTTTCAGGAGCAGCTATTTGTTTCTGCTCTAACCAGAAGGAAGATTGATTTCGTACAGTTGTAGGTAGATTTGTAGTTTTGGGGGGATGGGAAAATTAGAGAAACTTCCCACCTACTAGTCAATTAAACAAAGCAAGGGTTTCTGCTGAGAGTGGGGCTGAGGATAGAATGAGGGATGTCTGGAAAGAGGGAAAGGA